CCTTCTATTAAAAGATCAGCCTCCGGGCGAGATTTATGACGTCACGCTAGTTAGATATAACGGATTAATAAATATGTTGTAGAATACATGGAAAACATAATTATTCCTCAGATTTTTGGTTTGTATTTTAAAAATGATATAGTTTAAATGAAATATACATAATATACAGTTAATAACTACAACATATATACCTATTTATAGTAATAAATACTTTGGCAAATAAACTATGAACCATACAAATGCAGCAAATGTTTTACAATGTACAAATAATGTATAGGTACATAAGATAATGGGTAAAATGTAAATATATTTTAAATTTTGGGGTTTGAAAATCGATCTAATTTAACAAAAAACATTTAATATCTACTAATAGTGATGTATTATTATTTGCATTCACAAAATTTATATGTATATTTTGCAAGTATCAATGTTCGAAAAATTATATTTACAAATAATACAATATTATCTAAAAAATGGCGTCAGCGATGGCTATGAAATGAAGATCGCTGGCATGTTATATGTTAAATTATTCTAAAATTTTTGATTTTCTTGGGATTTTTAGGTTCGGGAAAAACGCTGATTAAGTTTTCATTTGGGTTTTCATTATTTTTATTTTGTTTAAAAAAAAACGTTTCGGCTAACTATAGCCTTCACAGTGTTGTGTCATATATGATATGAGAAAATAGTGTCGAATATAATCCAAAAATTACATATACAATATAATTCACACCTCATAATCTTTACTGCAATTAATAAACTAATATAAACTTATCAAAAGATGACCACATATTTTTTAAAATTATTATTCTTAACACTAAAATTATCTACATTGACTATGGAGTACGCAGTAAACATTATGTGCGTGGTGTGAATATTTTATATGCAATTTTTGGATTATATTCGACACTATTTTTTTTCATATGACACAACACTGATGGAGGCTATAATGTTAGCCGAACCTTTTTTTAAACCAAATAAAAATAATGAAAAACCAAATGAAAAATCAATCAGCGTTTTTCCCGAACCTAAATTCGAAGAAAATCAAAAATTTGGAATATTTAGAATCAAGGTTCAAGAATATCAAATTTTCCAAGATTGTAAAATTCTAGTTAATTATTTTATGTGTACAGTTATTTAGGGAATGTCATCGATGTTTATTTCCAAGCCAACTAGACGCCGATTTTTTTCGATGATACGGTATAATTCTTACGTAAAATGTAAATAACATTAGACCAATTAAAACAAAGAAATATGAATTTCTTAGTATTTTTAGTAACACCTTTATTCTTAAAACTTAATTTTGTATTATGCAAATATACCAATTTTATTGTTATTTTATTCATATTGTATTCAGCCATCACTTAAATATTTGATATTAATTTGGTATTATAAATAATCAATACTATTCATTAAAAATTACTGAACAAATATATGTTATGCTTAACATACATTATATATTATCAAACAAAAACACATTCTTCTTTTAAACTGTATCCGTCTTGTCTTTACAAAAATCTTTTTTAAAATTTGAACTCAAAATAATAATCTTTTTCATGATCTCTAATACACATATTCTTTATTTTTCCCTAGATCATAATACCTACTTACGTGTTTGAATCTATCGAAGCTGAACCAGCAACACTTGGAGTGGAGATTCCACAATATGAATAAAATAAACATAATTGTCCAGTTTCATTAATACCATCATGGGAGAATATTATTTTTAAATTTATTAAAGATATTTTCAATAAAATTCTCTTGATTTATAACTCGTACCCACTTTTCTTGCTCTTCCGGACACTTTAGGCTGCCTAGTATAATAACTATCCTTAGTAACTATCCTTTCCACCAGGAACACAACAAAGATGAGGCATAGCACCAATAACACACTCCACTTAAGCTTTATTGATGAATTGTTAGAGTCTTAAAAAACACACACAAAAATCACGATAAGTAAAAAATGTATGGGCACTTTTAGGTTAAATCACTTGCACAACGTGTAATTTTTAAAATTTCTATTTTTTTATGCGAAACCGAGAGTGACCATATATCTGGTAGTAGTTTATGTCACTTCAACACCAAAATAATTAGTTTTTTGCACTACAATAATAAATAATACCAAAAATCAAAGAGTTAAAACCAAAAATCAACCGACAAAATATGAAACGGAATCTAACCCAATATCTAAGTATGTACAGCTGATGAAGTAAACAAAAGTCCGCCCGTAGGCTGATCTTTTAATAGAAGGCACTGCACGAGCAAACGTCATTTTGGAGATTGCGATTTTCATTTTGGAGATTGTCATGTTGGATAGTTTATGTGATCTGTGGATAGTTTCTTAACCTAACTTTTTTAGTAAACAAAATAAATCCCTTGTAAATCCGTTTTGTTTGATTAAACAGTTTTGAATATGTTAGATGAGTTTGAGGATATTTTGGACCATGTGGAAGAAAAAAATCGTCTTCGAGTTCCAAAACGATATATAAGGGATGCAGGAAATCCAATAGAAATGTTTAGCTAGGGGAATTTAAATACCGATATAGGTTTAGCAAGGCTACAATTACAGAAACTATTTTACCTCTTGTAATTGAAGACTTGCAAAAACCTACCAATCGTGGTTTACCTATTCCCCCGTTATTCAATTATTAATTTATTTACGGTTTTATGCGACTTCTAATTTTCAGATAGTAAGTGGAGACTTGCATGGTGTTAGCCAACCTACAATAAGCCAGATTATCAAGAGGGTGTCCATTTTAATAGCAGAACATTTGAGTGAATTTGTGATACAACCATAAATGGTTGAACAGCATTATTATTCCAATGATACTGGCTTCAGCTTGTGCAGATGATGACAACAAATGGGATACATATATTAAGAATATAGAAAGAGCTATAAATACATCTGTGAATAAATTCACTGGCGAAAAAAACACCTGAATTATTATATGGATATATTCCGAGGATTGAAGATTTATTTGAAGATGGACAAGTGAGGTTATTGGCAGTAGAGAATGAAAAGTACTCGATTACCTGAAAAATTGAGAGAAGAGATCAAAGAACATATAGAAATGGAACAAAGGAAATATAAAAAAATTTATAGGCTAGCAGACTAGCAAAAAAAGAAGAGAGAAGAATGTCATCTAGACGACAAGAAATAAGGAAGCAGTAAAAACGCAATAATCATAGAATGTGTATTGTGAAATATTATTTGAAATAAAACTATAAAACATGGAGTATCGACTTTATATAGAGTGGTCAACTCAATAAGAATTCAGAATTTACACCAAGCAATAAAATCTTGAAAATTATAGGTATACGGTGTATACATCCAATATTGTATATTATGTGATATATTTATGTAAATATTCATGATGAAAATAAAAAGACAATTTTTTTAGTTCTAATGTATTAGTGGGAAAATTCTGTGTAACCAGTTAAAACAAGCACTTAGCTGTCTGGTCATAGTGAGCGTAAAACTACTAAGAAAAAGTATAGATAAACAGTATTTTTAAGATAACTAATAGACTATAAGAAATTACTTAAAATATGTTACATGTAAATATATAAACACTAATTTAAGAAAAGTAAATAAAATTATTATTAACATATTACATAATTACTAGATATACATATGTCAATACAATAAATACATTAATTTGCAAAATGTTGAATAAGATTTCTTCAAAAATCTAACCCTCTTCCTTTTTATTTATAATTGGAATGTGTAAATTAGCATCTTCAAAATTATCTAAATTTTCCCTTAAACCAATATGAAGAACAGCTGTTGCACAAATAATAGCAACAGTTGTTTTGTAAACCTAGGAGACATGGAAGATGTTTTTTACAAGTCCCAAATAGCCTTTCACATTTCGCATTCTTCTATGGGCAAAGTTATACCTGGTTTCTTGTTGATTACCTAGCTGTAGAACAGTCGAAATCAATAGAAAGTCGAGTCAATAGAAATGGCCTACATCTATATGCATTGTCTCCAAGAAGTAAACCAGGAATATCACTCCTTTCCATTAGCATTCTTAATTACTTCGATCGAATATAACACCTTGACCCTGGATATCTAACTATAATGTCCATAATTTTCCTTTTGGGACCTGAACATTTAGACTAAAAAAACGTTTGCGATTTTGAAATACTTCCACATTATTGCATTATTCTTGATTATCTGGCTTATTGTAGGTTGGCTAACACCACACAAATCTTCATTTACCATCTGAAAATTACAATTCGCATAGTATTCATCAGTCATCATAGTAATTCAATAACGGGGAGAATGGGTAAACCACGATTGGTAGGTTTTTGCAAGTCTTCAATTTATAAGAGGTAAAATAGTTTCTGTATTGTAGCCTTGTAAAACCTATATCGGCATAAATCCCCCCTCGCTAAACATTTCTATTGGATTTCCTGCATCCCGTATATATCTTTTTGGAACTCGAAGACGATTTTCTTCTTCCACATGGTCCAAAATATCCTCAAACTCTAACATATTCAGAACTGTTTAATCAGACAAAACGGATTTACTTTGTTTACTAAAAAAATTAGGCTAAGAAACTATCCACAGATAACATAAACTATCCAAAATGACAATCTCCAAAATGAAAATCGCAATCTCCAAAATGACGTTTGCTTGTGTATTCTGTGGATTCCGCTCTCGAGAGCCCAAGACCGTCTTGGCGTCTCGAGATGCAACTATAAATACGGGCCTTGGCGTCTCGAGACGCAACTATAAATACGGGCCTTAGTAGGAAACCGAGGCTTGACCATGGGGCTTGACGGAACGACGGATGACGCATGACGGATTTATATAAATTTACCTTAAGTCTTAAGTCATATATAAAATTCTTAACTTGTGAAACCATAGAATATGGAAATTAGAGAGTTGTAAATAGAGGTGAAGTTGTCAGTTTGTCAAATAATACGTCAAATGTCAATGTCAGTTATAAACAGGTTTATACACGTTAGGGATTCTCTGGATTTCTTGCATAAAGTAAGTGATTGTAAGTGATATATTTATTGATTTTTTAGCTAATTTTATTCAGTATTCAGTTACTATTTAAGGACAATCTTGAATAACTTTGTATAGAGCGTTGTTAATCAAACTGTGGCATTGCAGCCTTTACAACAAATTCTTTTAAACGTAGTAAACAAATATGGTAAGGTAAGATTAGATTAATAAATGTTCTTTTTAGTTTGTTATTTTTTTCCAGTCTGTGGCAAAATTCTTGGCAGGACTGCCTTCTTTTAATGAGAATAATTTTTCAAAGTTTCACGTGGATAGTGGCAATAGATCCTCATCAAAAAGACCATCTGTTTATATTCCAACAAAAGACTATCCAGCAGAACAAAGTGATATTAATAATTGCTAATATACTTTTATCTATTATTTATAATTTTATGTTTTAGTTATAGTTACGGAAAAAACAAGTATACTTTTGAAATACATGCAGCAGCATTGGGACAAGAAGGTTAATATAATCATGCTGTTAAATAGTTTTATTAATTTTTATTTTAAGAATTCAACAAAGAAAAGAGAAGTCACACCAATAGATCAAGAACCAAGTCGAAAGAGAGCAAGGATGGATGGTAGTAGAAATATTTTAGATTGAGCAGAAGGAGTGTTTGAATATGATTTTTGCTGTTTAAATGACTTGTATATACCTACTGATTTCTGTCTGACAGGTGTACAATATGCGACAGAATTTAACAAGAAGTTGAAGGATGTAAAAAAATCAATAGGAAGTTATGCTAGGCATATTGTATTCTGTTAGTCATTTTAATATCTATATTTCATTACATCACTGAAAACTTATTACGTTACATATCGAAATGTCCTTATCTACAGGGTGGTCTGAATTGTATTTGAGAAAGTTTGGCAACATATTCTGCAGATAAAAATAAGTAAAAAAAATAAATTTATATCCTAAAATGCTTTGTTTCTGAGTTACAGGGTGTGTAAGTTTCAATCATTTATTCATGCAAATGCCACAATTGGTAACTAACATAAATAATTTTTTTTATATATACAGTATAAGTATAGAAATAAGAAATTTAAATACATTTTATATGTTGTAGGTATACATATGTTTCATTTTTATTTCTATTTTTGCAAAATAATTTCTGATCTAATGTCAATATTTGGATGAAAATTGGTGTCGTTTTTTGACATGGGAAATTTGAATTCTATATGACTTCTACTTGCAGGGGCGCCACCTACATATTTTTTAACTGGTTTGAAGACTAATAACTTTTTTCCATACCTGTATAAAACTACTGAGAGAAAAAATATACTTTTCCGGCATTTTTTAAGTAAAAAAGGTAACTTGGTAAAAATCACTTCAAGTAATGATTCTCGAGATATTTGGAATCAAAATAATTACTACATCTCATCATTGCCAAAAATTGAACCTGTTGATAAGATAGTTATTAGACTGAAATCATAAATTTGAAATGGTTTTCTACCAAAGGTTCAATAGCAACTGTTTCATCATACTTTTTTCTGGAAAAAACTATGATTATTTTAAACAAAATAAAAAGTTCCCAAATTTATAATTTCAGTCAAGTAATAATAACTATCTCTTTATCTAGTGTTTATTATTTGTCAATGATAACATCCAAGTATCGTGAAAATGGTTACTCTTAGCGATCTTTATCTAGAGGCCGTTTTAACATATAAAATTATGAAACTGTATATTTTTTTACTCAGTAGTTTTATACAGGTAGGGACAAAGTTATTACTCTACAAACCAGTTAAAAATTTAGGTGGCACCCTCTACAAGTAGGAGGCATATTGACATCAAAATCAAATTTCTCGTCAAAAAACACCCAGACATCAATTTTCATCCAAACATAGACATTAGTTCAAAAATTATTTTGAAAAAATGAAACTTCTACGCTCTGTATCTCCTAAACAAACCATTTTAGGACGTACATTTACACGAACATTTTTACTTATATTTATCTGCAAAATATGTTGCTGAAGTCTCCCCAATACAACTCAGACCACCTTGTACATTTTTTGTTTCTAAATTATTCTTTAAGGCATAACATGTTTTGTTATAATTATGTATTAGCGTTGATTTAAACATTTTTTTTTGTTTATCTAAGCTAGTAGAAAAAAATTACCAGTTAATGGTAACTATTAAGAACTGAAAAGGTTGTATGAATGCTTATACCATATATTGACTTATTTGTACAGTGGTAATATTTCTATAAAAGTGTTATAATTTAAAGTAAGCTAGTTTTAATATAAAAATACTTAAACTATATTATATTCGTATTCTTAACAACATTAGCTAGGTATTTAATGGGGTACCAGGAGATCCTACGACATCAATTATTTCACCAGTATTAATCTTATTTTCTTGTTCTGAATTTGTTAACTGAGCTGGGATTATCAGCGTCTGGAAAACAAATACGCAGATTTTGTTTACAGGTATAGAAATAAAAAGTAAAAAAAAAATAATTTTAAAAAAATAACTATAAGATGTAGATAATACATTTTAGAATTTACCTTTCCTGGAGCCAGAGCTTCATACTGATGTCTTAATGACTGCAGATCATATTCACAGGTTTCTAGAGCTGATTTAATTTCCATTAGCAAAACCATATCACTTCTTAATTCATTAAAGTGTTGACAAATATCCTCAGTAGCTGTGGGATTCAATTCTAAAAAAAATATATTTTTAATATCAAAATATTCAGACAAGAATGGGGGTGGTATTACCTAAGCCCATTTCTTGCAAGGACTGTTCTATAGCTTTGGACTTTTTTTGACCTATGTTAGCAGGCAACTTCATTCTTTGGGATCTTAGTGATACTCCACTGTTTTTATAGTCAGGGAATTTAATACCAGCTGTTTCCACAGCTTGTAAGATGTACTGTAGAAAACATTTGTTTTTAAATTTTCTGTGAATAAATATAAAGTTAATACTTACACTTGTATCTACTCTAGATGGTCTTGGATTAGATAGTTTCTTTTTTGGTATTTTTTTATCAGTTTTTCTAGGAGTATCATTCTGAATATCCGCTTGACTAATTAATTTTTGTAAATCTTGCGTTTTCCTTTCTCTTTCTTTCTTCCTGGCTTCAATTTTTTTTAGCTCTGATATAAGAAACTGTTCTTCTTCAATCTTAAAGTAGCAAAATAATTATATTGCCTATTCATAAGGTATTAATACTGACCTGTTCTGGTGTGCGGTCATATAATTTTTTAAGTTGTTCCTTCCGTCTTCTTTCGTGATCTGCATCATACGTATATATTTTCTTTTCTCCATTTAACTGAAAAATAACTAACACTCATTATTTATTCTTGTAAGAAAATACACTCTTACCTTGGCCAATATACCATTAATTTTGTAATACCTTTCTTTTAAGTCTTCCACAGAACGTTTGGAAAACTTTTGAGTATCATATCTATCAGCTATTATTATAAACCTTAGATCAAACTGCTGTGCTAAATCCATTAGATGGTCAGTCTCTTCTTTAGTCCAAGTGTCAGATGTTAAATGTTGTTGATATTCAACATCTGTGTATGTTGGTACGTCTACTTTCTAAAACATTAAAAATTAAAAACAGAAATATTAATGTTTTTTTTTAAATTGGATATTAGAGTTTAGAAATATTAATACATTATTTACATCATTTTACCTTATTAAATTTAGCAAATGGATACTCTTTAGCATCATCACTTGGCCTTCTCCAATGATAGAATGTTGCATTATCAGATCTTGCAGGATTGGTAAAGGCCATCCATTCCCATTTTCTAGGTCTCCTCATGCCAAGTTTAATTTTTGTTTGTTTATAACCATTTCCGCCTGTAAAAAAATACTTAATATTAATGATATGAGTTCTATCAATTAAGTCATTGTTTACCAGTGTCCGATGGAAATAATGGGGGAACATCTTTGTTGTCATTATAGAGTAGAGCAAAGACTTCTCTGTGCATGCCCTCTGGTCTTTTTGAAATTTTTGTACCAGGCGTGAATTTTTTCTTAGGCTTGTCGGTACCAAGTATAGTCTCTCTCGTAATTTCTGGAGTTCCTGGTCTGTCCAGCTCCATAATATCACGTACGTCTGCCATGTCGCCCTGTGTATAAATAAAATATCTTTGGAAACAAATTAATCTAAAACTATTTGGAATCAAGTCTTGTTTTATGATGGCTCTGCTAAGAGGCAATTGCCAGGAGGTTCAATTAATTAATATTTACTTGAACACGAACAGAGAAAATGTAATTGATTGAAATTGATTCAATCAATAATATTAAAAAATTAAAAATTATAAGGTTTGGTTTGGATCTTGTTTGGATCTTTCTTGTCTTTCTTTCTTGATTGGTTTTACGGCGTAAGCTTCCAGGACTATACGGCCAGGTGATAGTAGAGATGGGCAAAAGTAACCGGTTTTTTGAATAACCGGTATTTTCCTCTAAAATAACCGGTTATTTAAAGGTAGTTTTTTTTCACCAGTTAACCTAATAACCTTGCATTACGTTCAATAACCTATAGCCGGTTATTTTTTAAAAAATCGTACTTGTTTAAAACTAGTAACAATTAAATATTAGCTGTTTGAATCGTAAATTTCGAAGGAGCGAACGGCACGGATCTTCCAGATATTACGACGATAACGGGAGATCCCGCTCCCGCTCCCAAAACGAAAATATATGACATCAAACATCAAATGTCAAAATTAAATCAGGCATCAGGCGAACCCTGATGATAATAATCAAAACAACGGCCAAATGGCCCTGACAGGTCAGGCCGTAAAACAAAGTACTAATGGCATAGACTACTACTAGCCACCAGCTAGCCAAGTGATACGAACCTAACTTCAAATAGATTCTCTAAATTCTATATTTAAATTTTAACCGACTTTAACGGATTTTCAACGGTTCTTCAAAAGTCTTCCATGGTTTCGCCCAGTTTCACCCACGTTTCACCGTAAATATATTTTATTTGTAGTTTGAAGTCTCTCTTGAAGCTTAGACTAAAGAATACAAAATTAAAGTTCAAGTAATGAATGAAGATAATCTTTCATTATCTATTCATTCAGTCTCCTTATTTTTCTTTGGTATTTGATTAAAATAACTTGGTTGTAGATTGTAGAACTTGTGAGTTGTGTGGTTTATTTGAACGTTAAGTAATTACTAGTTTTAATATCATATCCATGTCTACTCAAAAAAGTGAGGTTAGCATTTTTATTTAAATTCATTTTGTACATATACATACTTACATTGCTACAACATCTATTTAATCGTGCGATTTAACTAAGTTTATTATTTAAATTTGAAGTAGACCTATGGAGTGTAGAGGTATAGAAACCTATAGAAAAACTAAATATTTAGTTTTGCTAGGTTAGGTTATTTGAATAACCGGTTAAGTTGTGTCGGTTAATTTTGTCAAGTTATTATTTTTTAAAGATAATTCCGGTTAACCTATAACCGGTTTTTTACCAATAACCGCCCATCTCTAGGTGATAGTCTCCTATCCTTTGCTTCTTCTTCAATTTAATACAAGAGAAGCTCGTGAAAGCGTCCGACTCGAGGTCGTTTCTCTTGAATATTTATCTTGTACCTTTCAGTTAGTTATTCTATGTTGTACCTTCTTATTCAAAGTCTTGTACCACAGAATATCTAGCTACGCAACAGAAGCCTCGTTACATGTATAAAATTGTAGGTAGCAAAAGGAGACAGGCTTTAAAAGTCTGTCTCCAAATCAGATATTTTGATGTGGTAGTTTCGCTACTACATAATAGAGGGCAATAAATTTAAAAGAAAACAGTTTTCTACAAACAAAATTTAAAAGAATTTTGTGCAGTGTTGCCATTGTGTAATTCATATCGTAATACTTCCTGATAAAGCCTACCTTCAAATTTGCTACATCATTTAAACATATTAGGTACTCATACACCAGCGTTCTTTCCTGTAATTCTTTCCTTATGCGTTCTTTCTTGTCAAAAAATTAAAGGAAAGAACGAAGGTCCAATCCCACTAACACAAACGCAATCTTGTTGAATTTCCTGTCAGTTTTTACTGTAAGACTGGCCTGTTCTTTTTTGAAGGAGTTATATTCTTTGCAAAGCCCACTAACACAAAATACCTTTCGTTGCAGTTTTAAAGGATTTAGTTTGTTGTACTGTAAATGTGACACGATTATTAAAATTTTCCCGCTAGATGATCATTTTACTAAGGATCGTAAGATTTGACTTTATAAAATTTGTGTTGTGCAATACAAGTAAACAAGTGGTGTGCTTTGAATAATAATATTAATATTTATTTTATTATTATTAAACTATTAATATTAAGATGAAATCTAAAGAATAATTGCAATTGCTGTATTTAATATTGCAATTGAAGTTTTGTTTAAGAAAAGCAGAAACGCCGCATGTGATCAAAGAAGTGGCTTCAGAAACGGAAAATGTACAGCAATATGTATCTGTTACGAGAATTACGGACAAGTGAGCCTACCGATTTCCAAAATTATTTAAGAATGGATTCTAATAACATTTGATGAACTGTTAAAATTAGTTAGTCAATACATACAAAAATTCATCGTAATTAATTCGTAAAACACTAACTAGCTAATAAATATTTAAGACTTAAAAAACTACCTGGCGTTTTAACAACAGACTTTCCTAACAGGAGAGAACACACGGATATCATCTCTCAAATGAAATGACCCCAAACCACTAATACAAATTTTTTACACGTTTTATCTTGTCGGGCTGGAACGCCAGTAGATCCTGACAAGAAAGACGGAAGGTGCATGTGTCGTGCATATACCCACTAACTGGCGTTCTTTCCAGCGGGATTAGACATTCCTGCAGGAAAGAACGCTGGTGTATGGGTACCTATTAAAATAGATTACAGCTGTTTTTTTCAGTTTGCCATGTTAGTTGGAATGAAATCTTATGAGCTAAATTACAATCACTTCCTGACGTTTGATTGTATAATTGAATCCTGAATTTTCATTGTAATTCGGAGACAATATAATAAGTATTGTTCTACTATTATGATACTACTTCCTGACGTTCGATTGTGTTCATACCAAGTTCATATTGTATAATTGGGAAAAAACGGCGTTAGCGATAGCTATGAAATGAATATCACTGTCATTTTATATTTAAATTTATATGGGAAATGTCATCGATCGTCCTTTTCCAGCCAACTGGACGCCGTTCTTTTTTCAGAAGCATATCAAGTGATACCATAATATAGTACTATATTACGATACATGGCGTTCGATTCGGCTTAAACTTGGTATACTATATCTTCAATGACATTGTAATATCATGGTACCATGGAGCATATAAAGTGGTACCTTCTATAGTACCATATTTGATAACATAGCAATATTAGGTACATGGCGGCAATAGGGCTTAAACCTGTTATACTACGTATTTTCGGTGACATTGTAATATGATGGTACTATGATGCATATCATCTGGTATCATAATATAGTACCATATTATGTACATGGCGTTCGATTGGGCTTAAATTTGGGATACTACGTATCTTCGGTGATATTGTAATATTATGGTACCATGGAGCATAATAAGAGGTACCATAATATAGTACCATATTACGATACCATTTCCTGGCGTTCGATTGGACTTAAACTTGTTATACTACGTATCTTCGGTTACATTGTAATATGATGGTACTATAATGCATATAAAGTGGTACCTTAATATAGTACCATATTTTAATACCATTTCCTGGCGTTCGATTGAGCTCATATTTGATATATATTTGCGTATTTTTGATGACATTGCATTATTATGGTACCATGAAGCATATCAACTGGTACCATAATATAGTACTATATTACGTACATGGCGTTCGATTGGGCTTAAACTTGGGATACTACGTATTTTCGGTGACATTATAATATGATGGTACTATAATGCATATAAAGTGGTACTTTAATATAGTACCATATTACGATACCATTTCCTGGCGTTCGATTGGGCTCAAACTTGGTATACTACGTATCTTCGGTTACATTGTAATATGATTGAACTATGATGTATATAAAGTGGTACCTTAATATAGTACCATATTACGATACCATTTCATGGCGTTCGATTGTTCTTAAATTTGGTATACTACGGATCTTCGGTGACATTGCAATATTATGGTACCGTAAAGTATATCGAGTGGTACCATAATATAGTACACTATTATGATATCATTTCTTGGAGTTCGATTGGGCCCAAATTTGGTATACTTGCGTTTCTTTATAAAGATCTGTTTAATTAATAATTTTAATTTATTTTATGAATTTTAATTTATTGTTCGATGTCGTGACAGCAACTTTTATGCCGAACTAATATATTATTAATTGTACCTGTGTCACTTTTTAAAATCTACCGAGGTCTATAATATATAAATAACGTGGCAAACGGAAGAAATTTGTTATTATAGTATGTGCATATTTAGCCGAGCTATAAGCATAGATAAAAGAAAATAATCTTCTATTAAGATAGATATGAAACTTAATAGTAAAATTTTGGGTCAAAGCGCCCCTCCGTGTTCTTAGTGGAGACTACGTTTAACCCAGCGCCTTCGCCTTTTCTGCTGTAAATGTTTTTTATGTTTATATTTGAATTCAAAGGATTTAGTTTTAAAGTTACACTGATATATTAGTATATCAGAGTAACTTTAATAAAACATAAGAATCTTTTTTTTAATTTTACAGTTTATTAAAAATAAATTTTCACTACAAGGTAGAAACTAAATAACAATATTTTATAAAACTTATAAGTATATCTTCAAAAAGACTTATTCTTCTCTTATTTCGTCACTAGAAGAAAATCTACAAACTAAAATAGTTATTTTTTGCAAACACTGCTGAGTTCATCCAACGAAGACCAATTTGGCAACGGTATCTATAACTTATCTTACTAATAAAACAAATTTGCCTAACAGCGCTATCAGATGGAGCAGACCGTCCGCGACTTCGAGCAAGTACCATGAGTTTATATGAACAATTTCACATGGGTCGCGTATGCTCCATCCGGATGATTTCTTCCGACGCGCGACGGCTATCTTGAAAAAACACGCGGACGCTCCGCTCCATCTGAAAGCGCTGTAACGGACGAAAAAAATTTAACAAATATTTTTGATTTGGTGAGCAAACGTATCAAATATATAACTACTAGTGATAGTAAGTTATCTGCTCACTTCGCTATTCACAGACATTTTGAACGATATATTTCTTTATATCTCTTGTAAAGTTGATGTATATATGTATATATACCATACGATTGAAAAAATCGGTGTCAGAGTGTCGTGATCCTGGATTGGACCACCGTCGTCACCAATCTTGTAGTCGCTGCCACCAAA